AAAAGGGGGCGTGGTTAAGCAAAAGAGGGCGTGGTCAAGGGTTACACCCCCCCAGGAACGACGAGAAGACGGCGGCCGATTACAAAATCCAAGGGGGCTCCGTCCTCCACCTCGTCCTGGCCCTGCGGGGGGGCGGGGCCCCGCGGTGAGGGGGCGGAGCTCCCGCCGGGACACGCCCCCTTCTTTCTCCCCTTCCTCCTCCCTCCGGGGGGCGGGGCCGAGGGGACACGCCCACTCTTCTCACCCCCCCACCCGCTGAGGGGGGGCCTGGATTTTTTTTCCCCTCCCCCACCCCTCCCCCCTATTTCCCCTTGCACGGATATTTAATAAAAAGTTGGTGACGTCATCTTTGCGGCCTGTGATGTCATTTGGGGGGGCGGGTAAGGGTAAAGGGGGGGTCTCCTTTTAAAATGGTGATGTTGCCCTTTTAAGAGCGAGGCATCGCCCTTTGAAGAGTGAGACATTGCCCTTTTAAGAAGCGTTGCCCTTTGAGGAGCGAGGCATCGCCCTTTTAAGAGCCATCGCCCTTTTAAGAGCCATCGCCCTTTGAAGAGCGAGGTGTTGCCCTTTTAAGAGGCTTTTCCCTTTTAAGAGTGAGACGTTGCCCTTTTAAGACTCATCGCCCTTTGAAGAGCGAGGCGTTGCCCTTTTAAGAGGCATCACCCTTTGAAGAGCGAGATTTTGCCCTTTGAAGGGGCATCGCCCTTTTAAGAGGCTTTACCCTTTGAAGAGCGAGGCGTTGCCCTTTTAAGAGGCATCGCCCTTTTAAGAGCCGTCGCTCCTTTATAACCATCACCCTTTTAAGACACACATTGCGGTCCCCACCCCCCCCTCCCCTTTTCGCCGTCGCCCTTTTAAGACCCGTCCACACGCCTCCGTCCGCCATTTTGCCTCCCAAGATGGCGGCGCCCGATCTGGAGCGGCTCCTGGCCGCGTTGCTGGAGCCCGACAGCGCCGTTCTCCGGCAGGTACCGGTAAAACACCCCTCGGGGGGGGTTTCGGGGACCCCGGGACCCCCCTTTTAACCCTTTAATCCCCTCCAGGCCACCACCCGCCTCCGCGAGGCCTTCGCCGACCCCCAAACCCCCGCGCGCCTGGGCCTGCTTCTCAGCGCCGCGCCGCAACCACAGGTTTTTTTAAAAAAATCCCTTTTTTAAACCCTCCCTCCGGTACCGGGGACCCCAAATCTTTCTATTTTTATGATTTTACAACTTTTTTAGATCAGGCAATTGGCCGCGGTGCTGCTGCGGCGGCGGCTCCTGGGGAAGTGGCGGGGGCTGGACTCGAACCTGCGGCTCCGGTGGGTGCCCGGGGGGCGGGGCTTGGGGAGGAGGAGAGGGCGTGGTTTGTGGACCAGAGGGCGTGGTTTGGTGAGAAGAAGGTGGGGTTTGGGGAGGAGGGGGCGTGGCTAAGTCAGGCCCCGCCCCCTCCAGGCTGCCGGCGCTGGTGGCCGAGGCGCTGGAGCGAGAGACGGAGTGAGTTTTTGGGGGGAAATCGGGGGAAAACGGGGGTTTTTGGGGTGGGGGGACAAACCGGTTCAACCCAGTTCGTCCCAGTAAACCCCAGTCCCCCCCCCAGTCCCTCCCAGTGCTCCCAGTAACCCCAGTAACCCCCCCAGTCCCTCC